CCCCCCCCTCTCTAGACATTTTTTCACTTTGATGTTCCTTCTCCTCTGTGAAGCCTGAAGTCAACTTAAGGGCTTTTAGTAAATCTCAAAACGCCTGCCATTTGATATAAATGGTTTCAAGTTGAAAAGTTCTGTTTACTGCTCCTTGTAGAAACCAATTTCATTGATGTCATTTCATGCCAAACAATACAAACAAAACAATAAGATAGGCCGAAGTGAAATGAAGTAAATCCAGCAGCGGATCAGCTCATATCTTTGTGATCATGCCAGTTCTAATTTTGGACTTTCCTTAATGCAAATCAGTGAACCATTGCTACGCTACCAATAGGTCAAAGTGATTGATTCCCATCATCATAACTTCTCTGCATTCATACGAATTTCGAGTGTGGGGTGAAATAAACCACCCAAGTTAAATTGAATTCTACAAATCCTACTTGCAATGCCTGAAGTATGAAGCAAATTTAAGGCATAAAATTCAAAAGTCAATTATTTTTCTCAACTTAAATTTTGCCATTCGTAACGGAGGAACCGGAAATTAAGATTTCGTCGGGAAGAAATATGAACGAGGTTAATCTTCACCTCCTAGACATTTGGTTACTTTGTTTTCGCATATTGTTTTTTTTGTTACCAAATGGCATAAATTGTCCAACCTTTTGTGGTAGGCTAATGAAAACATGGCAAGAAGGAAAATTCCTAAATACAAAACAGCCGTCATTCTTAGCGGAATTGTTCAATAGAAAGGATTGAGGGTTTACAGATATTATCGAATATTTTCAGTGCACATGAATTTTACTCACAATATTCATTGGATCCTCATTGGTTGGGGCTCAATCATTGGCTAATTAGGCAGCCAATCAACCTTTTCTTGTCAAATGCATTTCCTTTACAGGAAGTCATTAGTAAAGTTACAGGTATTCTCTCTATCTACTCTTGGTTCTGAATAACTTTAGCCATAACTAATGCACAAAGCCAAGCTTTACGCAACGGGATCAAACACTACTACATATTGAATTTATCATAACCAAAATAGTTTGTCATAATAAATTGCACTGGTACCAATTAATTAAGAGGTCAATAAATCAATAGTTTTCTCAGCAATTCAACAGACGAATAACAAAGTTAGAATTTTGGAATGTGAAGTTATGAACTAGGACTTAAGTAAATTATGTTCCACCGTAATTAAAAGTTAGATGGAATATCATGAAGATATTATAAAATTCGGTTGATTTCTCACCTCTTAACCTCTTATTACGCAGTTACTAGTACAGTTTCCTCGCAATCTGTTACGAAAATTAAAATTTATTCATCCTGAGAGCAATGTGTCATTTTCAAATAGGACTCTCATTGGAGAATTTCAACAATCAATGGTCGACTATCTGGGGTGTGCGATAGACTTACCTCCACGTGGGGCACCCTGAGCAACGTATACTCATACGGCAAAAAAGTTTGTTAACTGGCAGTTGACCTCTGACTTCAAACTTCCATAACCCCACTGTATGTCATATTCGACCCCTTTCACAGTACTCATCTTGCCTTTTCTCTACCTTTGTGTCTGCCTGTCTCTCTTTTACTTCCTTGAATCCCCCTTCTTTCCACATGTCGAATTTTTCTCGCTTTAATGTTCCTCCCTTCTGTGAAGCCCGAAGTCAACTAAAGGGCTAATGATAACTATCAAAATGCCTGCAATTTGAAATAAATAAATAAATTTTGTTTCCATAAAGCCTGCCATTTGATATAAATAAATGTACTGCTATTTCTGAAGCCTGAAGTCAGCTAAAGGGCTAATGATAGCTATCATCGCCTGCCATTTGATATAAATAAATATTTGGTAAACAGGGAATAAATAAATGGTCGACTATCTTTGAAAGCAAATATGAGAAGGTTGATGACAAAACTCACCTCAGGGTTCTCGTAATAGACTGCCACATGTAGAGGTGAGAGTCCATTTCGAGCTGTTGCATTAACGTCGACTTTGGCTTCGTCCAGTAGGTGTCTCATAGCTTCGATTCGGCCGTACTTTGTGGCGATATGTAGTGCAGTGTATCCACGCTACAAAGATAAAAACAATCCATTTATCTACTCTAAAATTAGTGGAATTGGGAAGGAATGAAAGTTAGTTCTAAATGGAAAAAATGACTACTGTCGAATGGAGAAATGCCTGTTGAATTAGTTCAAAGGCACTCAAACTAACTGAAAATGAAGTCACTTCGGAATGAAATCCACAAATGATCCTTTGTCTTTATTTACCTTAGCCTGTGGAAGTGCACGATGATGTACTTTAATAGCCATTCATTATTCAAGGTTCATATAGGTACTTAAAACTCCACCTTGGGGGGAGGGGGGGGGGGCTCAAATAAAACTAGATCACGGTTACAATACTGACAAAAATAACAACTCAAGCACGTTTTATTTTTCGCAGTATGACCTACGTTTCCTACAGGTGATTTCTATGTCACTTTGATAAGAGGATGTACTATAGACTTACCTTCACGTGGTACATCCTGGGCAACGTATAATCATGCCGCAAAAAAGTCTATTAATCGACAGTTGATTTCTGGCTTCTAACTATCATGACCCCACTGTATGTCATAACGGACCACTTCCGCAGTACTCACCTTACCTTTTCTTCGTCCCTCTGTCTCTTTACGACTATGAATTACTCTTCTGTTACTCCTCACCACTTTTTGTGACTTTGATGTTCCTCTCATTTGTGAATCCCGAAGGCAGCTAAAGGGCTAATGATACCTATCAAAACGCTTGCCATTCAAGAAGTCGCTTTGATAAGACAAATGCGGGAGATTCTGCTCATGACGTACTCGCGGCTAGTTTAGACAGGACGAAAGTTCAAGCCAATTTTATCCGCAAGTTTTAGGAAGACTTGCATCCCTAATCCTCTTGTCTCTATTAGACGTTAACTGTAAATCACAGCTTACGATAGGCAGTGTGTCTGAAAATTACTTTTGCCCGTTAAATTCAAGTTCTTTGGAGGTAAAAATTAGGGACAAGGTCCCACTAACTCCCCAGAATAGGGCAACTAATGTAAATAAAAATCTCATCACTTATTCTGGCAAGTTCTTACAACTTTTAAAGGCACTTAACAAAGATGTGCGTTTATTTCATTAATTCGATTAACAATTCATGAACAGATCGTCAGTTACCTTTTACTATAAGACATTGAAGTGTTTGGAAAATAGCTCATGGAAACGTTCGATTAGCGTGCCAAAGTTAAATACTACTACAACTTTGGCTGTTTTCGTGATCAAATTATCGATTTTTATTTTGTTTATAGCTGGGGATTCTCTTCCCCCCTCCTCCTCTCACTCGCAGCCTATTTGATAGGAGATTGGTTCTTCCACTAGTAAGCCATCAAGTTGTTATCAATGTTGCATCTTGTCATAAGATAGCCAAATTTAACGTGTTTTTGAAAACGACTTTTCCCCTTCTCATGCTAGCATCTTCTTAGGTGGTACCTCTTTTGCATATTAATGTTCAGAAGTCTTGGAAATACCCTTTGTTTGAATGCCTAGAACATCACATTTTCCATTTCGCTTTTGCTTTGCTTTACTGCCATACCAATAAATGTATCGTACATGCTTAACCGGGGGAACTGCGCAGGTGAACCTCACACAGTATAGCCAATCATCGACCAGCGAATTGACCAATCAGCATCCCCCTTCCCTTCACACATGCTCTCTTTTTAGCGAGATGAAAATTTGAACGCACAGCCTTGTGCTGTGGTGCTTTTACATTTATTCTGCGATATTGCTTTTTTTCCCTAGAGGGAGAATCGTTGCCAAAAAGGGGGAGGGGGGGGAACTGAGGCATATTTGTAACTAAATGAACATGGCTCATATTGATCCCAAGTTGATTGGTAGGTGGTGTATATGAGTTTAAGTATGGGATGGAAACTGGGTCATCTCAGTGTCGTTAAACGAGTTTATTAGGTCCTAATTGATTACCCAGGACTATTTGAGGTTGATATGAGTTATGAAACCGAAGGTAACTAGATGAATACCGAGGATGATCTGTCGATCACGGGGTGTGCGATAGACTTACCTTCACGTGGTGCACCCTGGGCAACGTATACTCATACGGCAAAAAGTCTATTAATCGGCAGCTGACTTCTGACTTCAAACTACCAAGACCCCATTATATGTCGAATTCGACTGCTTCACAGTACTCACCTCACCTTTTCTCTACCTTTGTGTCTGTCTCTTTTACGTCTGTGAATCATTATTCTGTCCCCCTCTCGACTTTTTACCACTTTGATGTTCATCTTCCTTTCTGTAAAGCCCGAAGTCAACTAAAGGGCTTATGATACCTTTCATAACGCCTGCCATTTGAAATAAATAAATAAATAAATCTGTCGATCACCAACCGGACTACACTTTTAAACATTTTTTATGCGATTAAGTCTTAATCTCACTCGTCCTGTTTCAAACCCGAAGGATGATTCTTAAATAAGATAAATAATTGGAGATTCATGTAACTGATGCAGCCATTAATGTAACTATTGAAATTTAAATTTGCAATTCATTAATTGTCAAATACTTTACATAATCGTGGATATCTTGACAGGTCAATATTTGGCGATAGAATGACAGATTTGTCAACGCAGTTTAATCGGCAGCATTTAATTTATCCAACACATAAGCAAAATAGAGAGATGATTTCCTTACTTTGGCCAATGCAATCACGCCGATTGCAGTTTCCTCCAAAATGAGACAATTTGTTTTCCTGCAAAACTAACTAACCCGACGTTTGTTATTGCTGAGCTTCGGTAGAAATTTCACTTCTTCTGATTATATACTTGAAAGTCGCCCGCTTCCCCCACAATTCAAGTGACTGAACTTAAAGGCTATTCAAGGTGGATTCTTTGAACAGCAGAAAAAATACATTGTATCCAAAAGATAGCTTAGATTCAGAGACACTTTGGAAAGTGATGTTGAAGACTCATCTTGGGCAGGAGAGTACCATCACGGAGGCTCTATGGTTGGAAGCTCAAAATTACCATTCCAACAAATGACCTCTTCCATGAAGACGGGTATAATAATTGCTGTGACTAAGATTAAATGACTTAGCAGGTCAGCAAAATAGCTGCCAAGTGTCAAACCACTTCCAAGTTGTTGGAAGGGAAGTCAGTATTAAGAGATATTTTCGTCCACTTGATAACTGAAAGTCTCCAGAAATTATAATAGTTAACTCACCCTTGTTTTGGCATCAGCCTGGGCACCTTTATCTAAGAGGAGTTTAATGATGTCGATATCTCCAACTTTGGCGGCGAGATGGATGGGTTGATGCTTTCCTCGGGTTTCCGTGGCTACGTCAGCGCCGGCATCAACCAGCATCTTGACGATTTCTGGGTCTTTCAGTCGCAGGGCAACATGGAGAGGTGTCGTTTGTTCCTATGCAAGTGGACGAAAATATGCACTTAGGTGTGCGGATTTTGACATTTGACTTTACATGCAAATAATAAAATTATTTAAAGGTGCAAACAGGTTTTTTTTTAACTTTTCCCATTCATTCTTTTATTCCCATCAACGAAGTGCCAATGAAAACAGATGGGATATGTGTGGGCAAATAAAGTAGTGGGGGGGGGGGGATTTTTTGTCCGATCGTCGTTTCTAGCCGTCATTTCCGGTCTTATGATTCGACCTCTTCGGTTATGTTGTGGGGAAGTGATTCATCAAGGGAACCACGATATTATCACCCCCTCCCCCACCCACCT